CCACAGGAAGCAGAATCCGCACCCAGCAGTCCTGACACCCAAACTTCCCTGGGAGCTGGGAGGAGCCCAGGAGTGGGTGACACTGAGGGGGTCCTAGGGGGCACGAGCCGGCCATTTGGAAAAAAATGGAAGTAGGAACTGTGACTTCCAGAGGGACTGAAGGTTCACTAAACTTAAAAATGTACAAACCAAACGAAAACAGAACATTGTACTTAGCGAAGCCCTAGAGAAGATAACGGTCTACGTTAAGATGGAAAATAGCATCACCAAGTAAAAAAGTCTAACAACTGGACAAAAGGAAAAAGCCTCCGTTTGTTAAAAAGTAAAAATTCTAAAACTACATAATGAAACAGGGACTGTAGTCGCTGACATGATAGAAGAGGATTAACGCCTTTGTCACGAGACAGCTGGAGTACATCGGGGGGAATGACAAGACCAACTTGGTGACAAACTTCAGCTTCACCGCAAGGGTAGCATAAGCTAGCTCGGGGGCCGTGGACACGGATGCGCTCGGATCAGTGACCCCGCCTCTGAAGACCGACCCTAGGAGCAGCCCCGAGATGCAGGGAAGGTCCCGTGCACGGAAGTGCTCTCCTGGCATGGGAGAGTGACACACATGTCACCCGCCACCCGCCAGACAGGCAGGCCAGGATTCTGGAACATCCTCTGGTGGACTCGCACGGGACGCGTCCTTCTGAAGCGACAATTGCAAAATGGTCACCGTTGTGGCCAACAAGTGTGTGAAGAGACGGAGGGCAACACGGGACCCTGCGCTAGCAGCGTCAGCTCAGCGGCCTGTAGTGGCTCCCCTGCAAGTGTCTGACGACGCTCTCCTATTGCATCCTTTTTCCCCACGTTTTTTTTTGTATTATGACAAAATACACCTAACGTAATATTTGCCAACGTCACCATTTTTAAGTGGACCCTCCATCTCCAGCACTCCCTTCATCTCGCAAAACTGAAACTCTGGCGTTACCAGCTCCCGTCCGCCTCCCCCAGCCCTGGCAGCCACCCGTCCTACTGCTACTTCATTAGAAGACGAATCTGGAGGGGAAGTGGAGCCATGTAAAACCTCCCTCCTTTGCTTCTCAAAGAGCCCAAGCGAGTCCTCCTAGGAGGCCGGTGGCAGGTGAGCCGGGGGCCCCGAGCCCCAGACCCTCGGAGGCCAGCGGGAAGCCTGCGCTTCACACGCCTGGAGCTATTGGCTGCCTGCAGGGCTTGGGGTTGAGGAGGGTCCCCCTCATCTGGGATTCTCACATCCCCTGAGGCTGATGCCACCTCCCTGCTTTGGCTCTGGCAAGCAAATGAGGCGGGGGCACCATGAGGGGACAAAGGCACCCAGTGTCCTGTCTGCCACCATCAGAATGCAATGCTTTCCAGGCTGCAGCGCCCAGGCCTGGTGTCCCAGTGCCTGGATGGGCCACCCCAGCACGGGGGTCCCAGAGGGGGCCTGCTCCTGGCCCCACGGCCCTCTCCCTTGGAGTCCTCAAAAGGATGAACTGTCCACGCTGCAGTCAGATATGTTCCCCAACCACACCACCAGGCACGGGTCCAGGCTGAAATTCCAGCCCATGCCTGCTCCTCCACGTCCACACTGGCACCCCCAAGCCCACCCTACGCCAGGACAACCCCATCTCATGGCATCTGCAAAGACCCTGTTTCCAAGTAAGGTCACATGTGCAGGTTCCAGGTGGGTGTGAATTCTGTGCTGAGACTAAGGACTATGTGTGCACTGACTGCTGTCCCAGGGCTGGGTCTCAGGCTCCAGGTGTGACTTGAGTGGGAGCTTTTATCCACTGAGCCAATATCTCCTGGGTACTGACTGCCCAAGTCTCACCTGCACCTTCCGTCCTGGCTGCTGCTGCCATGCGTGCCCTGCCAGCCC